AATAACTTTTGCTGTATTTTAACTCTTGCATTAAACATTTTCAAAATAATTGGTGACAATGGCTGTTATACATTTAAAAAAATATATATATAATTGTATTATATTTTTCAGCATTATATATTCTATTATATTATATAGCAAATCAATTTTTGCTATTCATGTATGTATTTGTTTTATATTATAAAAATATAATGTTTACATTTTTTTAGCCTAGTGACAATATTCAATATTGTTAATACATTTTACATGTCTGAATGTATGAAATATTTTTTTTTTAGATTATATCTATATTTAATACATTTTATTATTTTATATAGAAAAATAGTATTTTATATCAAATAGAATATTTTATTCTATTTTTCACCCTGTTGACAGTATTTATTGTCAATATTTGTTTTATGACAACTGTATGACAATACATTTTATATTATATATTTATATGATAATAACAATAATAATTTGTTATATTGCCCAGGCCTATATGCAAAAATAAATAAATAAACAAACAAACATCTCTCTGTGTATATAGGTTAATTTTCTTCCATGCTCACCTGGCAGTGTGTTGTAGTCATCAATGAGGAACATATGTTCACTGTCAGGGTCAGAAGCGATGAGGTTGAGCTCCCTCAGGAACTCGGCCTGCGTTGGGTCAGAAGTGTTCACGATTCCCAGCGCATACATCTCAATACAGGGAGAATAAAATTGGACCCAAAATAGAGCCCTGGGGTACTCCACAAGTGATGGGAACTGAGCTTGATGAAAATTCACCAATTTCCACCGAAAAGCTCCTATTTGTGAGATACGATGCAAACCAGTCTAATGCAGTACCACAAATGCCAACCTCAAGATTGAATCTTTTTAACAGGATGCGGTGATCTACTGTATCGAAAGCTGCGCTCAGGTCCAATAATAAGAGAATAGTACAGTTACCAGTGTCTGCAGATAACAAGAGATCATTTACTACTCTTAAAAGAGCTGACTCAGTACTGTTTTGCTCTAAAGCCAGACTGAAAAGGATCCAGAATATCGTTAGAATTTAGGTAGAGGGAAATCTGGTTGAATACAACCTTTTCCAAAACTTTGTGCAGAAATGGCAGTTTTGAAATAGGCCTTTAATTATTTAATTCAGTATTATTTTATATAGAAAAATAGTATTTTATATCAAATAGAATATTTTATTCTATTTTTCACCCTGTTGACAGTATTTATTGTCAATATTTGTTTTATGACAACTGTATGACAATACATTTTATATTATATATTTATATGATAATAACAATAATAATTTGTTATATTGCCCAGGCCTATATGCAAAAATAAATAAATAAACAAACAAACATCTCTCTGTGTATATAGGTTAATTTTCTTCCATGCTCACCTGGCAGTGTGTTGTAGTCATCAATGAGGAACATATGTTCACTGTCAGGGTCAGAAGCGTTGCATAGTTTTCCTAAAATTAACACATTAATCAGCTTTGATTATGTCTTGTCTCTGAAAAATAATTAAACAATTACTGTATTTGCAAATATTTGCAATGCATATGATTGCATAGTTTTCCTAAAATTAACTCCTTAATCAGCTTGATTGTCTTCTCTTTGATAAAACATTGAAAAATGACCGAATTTGCTCATATTTACAATGCATATGTTTGCATAGTTTTCCTAAATTAACTCATTATTATAATGCATATGGTTGCGTACTAAAATGTAATCATTAATCACCTTGATTATGTCTTCTCTCTGAAAAATCATTGAAAAATGACTGAAATTACCAGTATTTGCACTGCATATGGATGCATAGATTTCCTAAAATTAACTCCTTAAAGAGCTTGATTTTCTTCTCTTCAAAAAATCATTAAAAAATACTAAATTGGCTAATATTTACAATGCATATAATTGCATAGCCTTTTCTGAAATTATCTCCTTAATTGGCTTGATAATGCCTTCTCTCTAAAAAAAATAATTTAAAAATGACAGAATTTTAAATATTTGCAATGCATATGGTTGCACAGTTTTTCAAAAAGTAACTCAAAATACAGCTGAAAAGATGCAAATGTATTAGATCTTACCGTGAGCCCTTGTTCGCCCTTGATTCCTGCTCTTCCCTAAAGGGAGAGATTAAAACACTCATGTTGTACAATGTGATTTAGTATTCACATTTAAAACTCCGTCTGCTTTTACACAAAAGATGGTTTATAGTAACTAAATTAACTCACAGCTAGTCCTGGAGTCCCTGGGTCACCCATGTCACCTCTCATTCCTTTGAAGCCTCTCTCGCCCTGCAAACCACGATCGCCCTGCAGGACAGAGAGATTTACAGATGAATTAAAGGATTCATATCATACATTTTTACTAATAATTTTTCTTCCTGAAGTCAAGTTCAATTGAGTCATTTCTTGCTATTGTGCCTCTAAGACATCTATGTAAATGCCCTCTACACACGTAATATGTGATACAGAGTGCTTCTCTTATTTACAAGCTGCATGTTTGCTGCCGAGTCTTTATGTTGCTAGTATGATCTAAACCAAAGTCTCACCTTGGAGCCTGGAAGTCCCTCTCCTGATGGGCCCCTCGGCCCTGTCACTCCAGGAGCCCCCTGATCACCCTGATGGATTTAACAAACAAGTTTATTTTCTGACCTGGTCATCATGACTTGAACATAATGCTATGTTGCATTAGAATATTCTGTATTTTGAATATTCTCTATATAGGGGAAGTCGTGGCCTAATGGTTAGAGAGTTGGACTTGTAATCCTAAGGTTGCGGGTTCGAGTCTCGTACCAGCAGGGATTGTAGGTGGGTCAGAAGCGATGAGGTTGAGCTCCCTCAGGAACTCAGCCTGTGTTGGGTCAGAGCTGTTCACGATTCCCAGCGCATACATCTCAATGTTCGCCACTTGAGCCTCGCGTACTGCCATATCCAGCTTAACAGGTTCTCTCTTGTCCGTCTGTCCATCCGTAATGACAATGGCTACTTTTCTGACACCGTTCCTGGCGCTGTAAAAGGCTTCTTGTGTGGCTTTGCGGATGGCAGTGCCAGTGTAGGTGCCCTCTCCCATGTAAGGCATGTTCCTAATCGCCTTCTTGACATCCTGCTTGGTCATATACCTGGCCAGGTTAAACTCCAGATGAACGTCCAAGCTGTAAAGAATCAGACCGATTCTCGTGGCATTACGACCCACTGTGACGCGGTCCACTAAAGCTGTGACGAAGTCCTTGATGATCTCAAAGTTTTCCGGGCCCACGCTTTCAGAGCTGTCAATCACAAACACCAGCTCCATGGGCCTTTCCTTGCACTTAATACCACATCCTAGAATTATATGCAGTCATATCATGACACACCTGTTTTACTCATTATCAAATCATTTGTTTTGTCATATTTAAAGTGTACAACTCACCACAAATCTCCTTAATCAGCTTGATTATGTCTTCTCTCTGAAACATAATAAAAAAATGACTGAATTTGCTAATATTTACAGTGCATACGTTTTGAAGGACAAATTATTCAATTTCCCGGTCAAACTCCACATATTTCACTTTAAACTTAAAAATATATATAAGTATAGTATAGTCCACCCCCCAAGAAATAAACATTCTGTCATTATTTATTCACTCTAATGTTGTTCCAAACCTGTATGACTTCTTTGTTCTGCAGAACCTACAAGAAATTTCAACAGTTTCGGTTTCCATTGACTTCCATTATATGGATAAAATATACAATGGAAGTCAAAGACAATAGAAACTGTTTGGTCACCAACATTCTTCAAAATATGTTTTTTTTTTGTGTTCTCTAGAAGGAAAAGAGTCATACAGGTTTGGAAGGACATGTGAGTGAACAAATAATGACAGAATATTCATTTTTGGGTGTACTATCCTTTTAAAAACAGTGTCTTGGTCATTTTTGAAGTACATTTTCAATTGTTTGGCTGACATTATGAAAACAAAACAAATTTTTTAAAGCGTAAATACAGAAATATCCAGACTAAATGTGAAAAAATATATAATTTTAGCTATATCGCCCCACCCTATATTGCAGGTAGTTGATGGTTAACCTACTTTGTGTCCCTGAATGCCTTCCCCTGGGGGTCCTTGTGGTCCTGGAGGACCTGGTCTTCCCATGTTGCCCTGAAACAGCAAGACAGCAGAATTAATATGGGAGGAACAGACAGCTTGTCTTCCTCAATCCCCACAGCAACACAGACAGACTCCCTGTGCATGCTGTTCAGAGCTCTTGTTCTGGACGTGTGGGGCGTTCAGTATCACAGTCTCATTACTGTAGTCAGAGAGATTCCCGGGAGAGTTTATATCAGATGACATGAATATCAATCTTACCAGTGGTCCCTGCAGTCCTTCACCAGGTGGTCCTGGCAAACCAGGCAAACCCCTGAATCCAACGTCTCCCTGAAATGAAAGTGAAGTTTTACCAAAAGCACCATTTAAGTTTATTCCAACTATGCAGGACATTTGAATGTTTCCATCATATATGACTTAATACATTTAACTCAGTATTTCTATAATAACTGCCACCCAATCATTAGTCTGCTTTCTGTTATCACAATAACACACTTAAGTATGAATTTTAATTTCACTACTTAGAAAGTTGTTATATTTGTAGAAGTTAAAATAAAATAAAATGTAAATTTTATTTTTATTATTATTTACTTTGTTATTATATGATAAGGTAATATTTTCTCTAATATAAATGTTTTTAAACAAAACATTTTTAGGAATATTGTTTTAATTCATAATCCATTTTTACATTTTTTTCTATCACTTTACATCCTGTTACATCCATTTTACTACCAAATGCTACTTCCTTAATTACATCATTCACCAGGATAATTACATAATTTTTAAGTGTACTCAACAACACAAAGGTCAGTAATAGTAATAGTAAAGTTCTGTGATGTTTTGTGCTACAAACTCTGAAACGGTTGGTCATGATTGATACATTTATAGAAATCAGTATGAAAATATTAGCATTTCAAAGGATGGTTAAAAAAAAATACACAATTAACTTCAGTCACAGCCTCACAACAACCTCACAGAGCAATGACTAACTTAAGCTCTTTAGAATGACTAACTTAAGCTCTTTACTTCCATTCTGTTCATTTCCATGTAGATAATTGTGGACATGTGAGTGAACAAATAATGACAGAATATTCATTTTTGGGTGTACTATCCTTTTAAAAACAGTGTCTTGGTCATTTTTGAAGTACATTTTCAATTGTTTGGCTGACATTATGAAAACAAAACAAATTTTTTAAAGCGTAAATACAGAAATATCCAGACTAAATGTGAAAAAATATATAATTTTAGCTATATCGCCCCACCCTATATTGCAGGTAGTTGATGGTTAACCTACTTTGTGTCCCTGAATGCCTTCCCCTGGGGGTCCTTGTGGTCCTGGAGGACCTGGTCTTCCCATGTTGCCCTGAAACAGCAAGACAGCAGAATTAATATGGGAGGAACAGACAGCTTGTCTTCCTCAATCCCCACAGCAACACAGACAGACTCCCTGTGCATGCTGTTCAGAGCTCTTGTTCTGGACGTGTGGGGCGTTCAGTATCACAGTCTCATTACTGTAGTCAGAGAGATTCCCGGGAGAGTTTATATCAGATGACATGAATATCAATCTTACCAGTGGTCCCTGCAGTCCTTCACCAGGTGGTCCTGGCAAACCAGGCAAACCCCTGAATCCAACGTCTCCCTGAAATGAAAGTGAAGTTTTACCAAAAGCACCATTTAAGTTTATTCCAACTATGCAGGACATTTGAATGTTTCCATCATATATGACTTAATACATTTAACTCAGTATTTCTATAATAACTGCCACCCAATCATTAGTCTGCTTTCTGTTATCACAATAACACACTTAAGTATGAATTTTAATTTCACTACTTAGAAAGTTGTTATATTTGTAGAAGTTAAAATAAAATAAAATGTAAATTTTATTTTTATTATTATTTACTTTGTTATTATATGATAAGGTAATATTTTCTCTAATATAAATGTTTTTAAACAAAACATTTTTAGGAATATTGTTTTAATTCATAATCCATTTTTACATTTTTTTCTATCACTTTACATCCTGTTACATCCATTTTACTACCAAATGCTACTTCCTTAATTACATCATTCACCAGGATAATTACATAATTTTTAAGTGTACTCAACAACACAAAGGTCAGTAATAGTAATAGTAAAGTTCTGTGATGTTTTGTGCTACAAACTCTGAAACGGTTGGTCATGATTGATACATTTATAGAAATCAGTATGAAAATATTAGCATTTCAAAGGATGGTTAAAAAAAAATACACAATTAACTTCAGTCACAGCCTCACAACAACCTCACAGAGCAATGACTAACTTAAGCTCTTTAGAATGACTAACTTAAGCTCTTTACTTCCATTCTGTTCATTTCCATGTAGATAATTGTGTAGACTTTGTGTAAATAATCAAGCCATATTGAATGAAGCTCTTTATTTCCATTCTGTTCATTTCCATGTAGATAATTGTTTGGACTTTGTGTAAATAATCAGGCCATATTTAATGAAGCTGAAGTGCCTTAACACATTTCTGAAAGCCACAATTGACCCTCCTATATCATCATAAATACATGAAGTGGTAACTTCACCTTTGGTCCAGGAACACCAATGCCTTCAGGGCCGGGCTCACCTGGTGGTCCTGGTAAACCAGACAGACCCTGTGTAAAATAAACACACACGCTCAAATACCCAGCAACACACCTGATTAATGGGAATTGTGATAAAAATGACTGATAATGTTAAGTGAAGTATGGGCATGCAGTGATGTTATATGGAAATAGGGATGTAAGAAGTTGCTTACCACTGGACCAGGAAATCCTTCACCTTTAGGTCCAAATGGTCCGGGCGGTCCTGGGTTACCTCGATCACCCTAAATGTGATAAGGAAGGACTATAACTTCATATATACTGGTTAAATGTTTGGAATAATTATGATATTTTAAAATGTTTTTAAAAGGAGTCTTTGCTCACCAAGGCTGCATTTTAAAATAAAAAATACAGTAAAAACAGTAATACTGTGAAATATTATTATAATTTAAAGCATATTAAAAGAAAAGAAAGCAGCAAAAACGGGTGTTGACACTGATAATACTAAGAAACATTATTAATATTCGAGCATTATTAATAATCAGTAATAACTGAGCAGCAAATCTGCATATTAGAATGATTTCTGAAGGATCATGTGACACTGAAGACTGGAGTAATGATGCTGAAAATTCAGCTTTGCATCACAGGAATAAATTACAAAAAAATAAAATACTTACATTTTAAAATATTCAAATAGAAATCAGTTTTTTTTAATTGTAATAATATTTCACACTATTATTATTATTATTATTATTATTGTCTGATCAAAAAAATGTTGCCTTGGTGAGTATAAGAGACTTGTTTCAAAAACATTGAAATTATCCCAATTGTCTATATAAAATGTTTGCCGTTTCATGATTAGCATAAACAAAATGTCTCGTTATAAATACATTTCTTTCAAAAACATGTTTAAAAAAAACTCTAAATTATTCCACACTTTTGACCAGTAAAAAAAAAGCTATATAGAGCTGCTTTATGATTAGCATAGTCAAAATCTCTTATTTCAGTATTTGTTTTCACAAAACATGATAAAATCTGAATTATTCCACACTTTTGATCAGTTATATACTGTACATATTGCTCAATCAAACTCCCTCATTCCTTTTACTCATTTTCTTCATTGTTCTACAGGTTAAAAAGTCCCACCCACCTTTGGACCAGGCAAACCGTAACCAGTCTCTCCAATCGGTCCGGGAGGACCAGCGGCACCCACATCACCCTGAAGACATGAGAAGATGAGGTCATACCATTACTTCTCTGTTTTATTGATGAATGTGAAATAGAAACGTTCTGATTCATAGTGTTGGCAGTGGGCCATTAATACAACGACATCTCCCAGCCTGCAGGGAGTGGCACAGTTGTAGTAGCTTGGCGTTGTTACCTTTGCTCCTGCAAGAGCTCGTCCAGGTAATCCCGGCATGCCCAGCCTTCCTGGCGTACCTGGCTCTCCCTAAAAAACAACAGTGTAATGTTCCAGTGATGCAACTGCATTACTGCTCAAACTATGTGAGAAACCACAGGCATTTATTGCACTGCTACTTCAAACAATGAACGGTTTTGTAAGCTTGGAGTTAAAAAAAATCAAATTTTCTCACATTTAATCTTTTTGTTTTATTTTAAACATTATTATATTTAGTTCTTTTAGTTATTCTTTATCGTTTTCATCCTCGACCCTATAGAGCACAACAGTAAGGTTCTGGAAATAGAAACCTCATTCCTTTATTCCCTGTACTCTTTCATAGTTGCAGACATTTAAATATTTTGCAGTAAATATACACTACCATTCAAAAGTGTTAGGTTTTTGTAAAATGATCAAAATTAAAGTTAAAACAGTAATATTGTGAAATACTATTACAATTTAAAAAAAAGATTTTTGTGGAAACTGTGATACTTTTGATGAATCATGATGAAGTCTTTGATGAAGTTCAAAAGAACAGCATTTATTTAAAATAGATTTTTTTTTTACATTTTATAAAGCCTTTATTGTCACTTTTAATGAATTTAATGTGTTCTTGCTGAATAAAAGTAATTTCTTAAAAAAAAAAATCTTAGGCTGCGTGTCCACCAAAACGTTTTTGCTGAAAACGTCAAGCGCTTGTGAATGATTTTTCATTACCAATAATATGGTAGTCCACCAGTTCCATCTGGTAAAGACATAAATACTCGGAGACAAGCAATATTAAAACTTCTCCAATGTTGTTTAGTCGTAGTACAAGCAGGGTGGTCGGTATTAGTCCCGCCCCTCCTCCACTGTGATTGGTTAGCTGACTAGAAAGTGACAGTGGTGAGCGCAGCGTTTTACCCAAAGTTTGAACATTCTTCAACTCTCGGCACCGAAGAAAAATGCCTGAGCGCTCAGCGCGAAAAAGACGCTCTCGGCACGCTCCTGGCATTTTAAAAAAACGTGGCGCTACCATTGAAAACAATTGAAAAAACACACACAGCCTTACTGACCCCAAACTTTTGAACAGTAGTGTGTACGCCATTGTAAAATATACTGTATTTTATACCTATGCTCAGTGATTATAAATTGATAGTTTTACTGTAAGAACATTTCTGTTTCTATTAAATCATTTGCGATGCTTCATGGCATGCGAAGTTAATTATACAAGACAATCAGGCTTTTGTATTTTTATTTTTGTCTTTTTCTGATTTTCAATGACTTTTAATCAAAGTTCATAATGCTGCATTCTCTGACTTGGTTGCTTTTTTCACAGCATAGTCATTTAACTTGATATTTAAAACGTTTTGTAATGGAGAAAATGTTAAAATACTTCCAGAACCAGTGTTGTGCTCCATTTGTTTAGTTATTCTCACCTTTGGTCCCGATGGGCCACTTATGCCAAGAGGACCTGGCAACCCTCTAATGCCACGTTGGCCTTGATCTCCCTATTTAGATCAGAACACAGAATATCAGTCAACATATACTGTAGATAATGATACTTAAGCCTTTTTTGACATCCACCAGATGATAATCATCGCAATATACTCATACAGAAAGAAAATCTGAAAGTCTGAAGTACTGTACCTTCTCTCCTTGAGTGCCAATTCCTGGAGCCCCCTCAGGTCCCCTCAAACCTGCCGCCCCAGACTCACCCTGACGAAGAGAAACACAATGCATTTAATATCCAGAGGTGGAAAGTAACGAATTACATTTACTCGCGTTACTGTAATTGAGTAGCTTTTTTGTGTACTTCTACTTTTTAAAGTATTTTTTAAAATCTGTAATTTTACTTTTACTAAAGTATATTTTATTTGAAGTATTGTACTTCGCTACATTTTAAAACACATTAATTACTGAGTAAAAAAAAAAAATCGCTCCCTGGAAACTACTGCAGTAAATAATGGGCAGGAGAACAAACTGGCGCTAAAATCACAAGAAAGATGCAGATGGACAAGACAGGCATTATGGTGCAGACCCAGCTGAGTCGTATTCTGCTGAAGTTGAACTCGAAGGAAATGAAGTGAAGCCCTGGCCATATTTAAGCTCTATTATGCAGTGTAAGCTGTGTTTGCCTAGGGAGACCAAACTAGCAGCTTATAAAATCTCGACATCAACCCTTCGCAAGCATGTAGAGGTAAGCTAAATACTTGCATCGTTGCATTGGTGGTAAAAATGAAGCTTTGACAGTTTAGCAAAAGGTTTTGCACAAATTAGCCAAAAAGACAGTGGTGCAGGGTGTGCGATATATATCGTCTGTGATAATAACGTAATTGTTGTTTTAACGATGTGCGATTTGACATTATCAGTATTTTGCCAAAAACCAAACAAAACACTCCTACAGAGTGCCTTGAAGTCTAGTAGATTAGACTAACGTTAGTGCGCACGCGCATTTAGAGTGCGTTCTTTCACTGCGTGATTCAGTCTGTTAAAATGCATTTAGAATTATGACAAAATTGATTTGGGCAGAAAATGTATATATTTATATCATTTCATATAGTAAATCAATATCACACGAAGAGTGTCGTTTTTCTCCAAAAATCAGCATGATTACATATAGATTTTTTTTTACAACAGTTCAACAAACAACAAGTTAATTAAGAGCCTTGCGTTTTAGACAACATATCGCCTGTTTTTGCTCTATTTCGACAACAAAAATAATTCCAAACACAGCCAACATAGCACAGTTTTGCGTATGAGCAACATGACAGTGTTTCGTTCAATTCAATTCAATTCAATTCAATTTCAAGTTCCTGAATGAATCAACCATTTTAATGATTTGGTTCAATCGCAATGACTCACTTATTAACAGTGACACCTACTGGCGGTTTTAATTTCACATTTAAAGTATCTTTTTTTTTTTTTTTTTTTATTTTTAAAATGATCAATCCATCACATCAAAAGAGAAATGTAAACTCTGCCATTATTTACTCACTGTTATGTTGTTCCAAACTTTTTTCAGTGGAACACAGATGAAGACATTTTAAATCTTCACGCCGTTTTTTTTTTTTAATTTAACACTCCAAAAAGGACACTATAAAAATCAATATCACACGAAGAGTGTCGTTTTTCTCCAAAAATCAGCATGATTACATATAGATTTTTTTTTACAACAGTTCAACAAACAACAAGTTAATTAAGAGCCTTGCGTTTTAGACAACATATCGCCTGTTTTTGCTCTATTTCGACAACAAAAATAATTCCAAACACAGCCACCATAGCACAGTTTTGCGTCTCTGAGTAGACATGACAGTGTTTCGCTCCTGAATGAATCAACCGTTTAAATGATTCAGTTCAATCGCAATGACTCGCTTATTAACAGTGACTTGATGCCACCTACTGGCGGTTTTAATTTCACATTTAAAGTATTATTATTATATATATATTTTTTAAATAATTTCAAATATCAGTATTCAACTTTTTATGTATCAAAACATTATTTATTCATTTGTAACTGCAGTTTAAAGCATTCCATGTCCCTCAGAGCTGCATTAAACAGTGGGTAAATATGAATTTTGTTGATACTGATTTAATTTCCCTTGTAACAGCCCAAATGTCTTATTATTCTAAATAACAGATTACTTTAATTAAAAACAACTAGTTTGAGATTTATAGGCCTATCCCAGGGGTGTCAGACTCAGTTCCTGGAGGGCCACAGCCCTGCACAGTTTAGTTCCAGCCCTGCTACAACACACATACCATGTAGCTTTCAAATAAGCCTAAATGATTAGATTAGCTGGATCAGATGTGTTTAATGGTTATATCTAAACTGTGCAGGGCTGTGGCCCTCCAGGAACTGAGTTTGACACCCTTGGCCTATCCCATTTTTGCCTCCCTCCCACTATTAAAATGTAACTAAGTAATTCTTACTCTGAGTAAATTTTAAATTAGCTACTTTTTACGTTTACTTGAGTAGATTTTTAGATTTTAGACTGGTATTTTTACTTGTACTTAAGTAAAATTTTTACTTGAGTAGAATATTTTCGTATTCTTTCCACCTCTGTTAATATCCACTTAACTTGCCTATTTGCCTAGAGACTTATCTAATGAGCAGAACACTCAATCTCAGTCACGTTAGATGAGCTCACACCAGTCCAGACATCAGAAAGCGGAGTTACCTTTTGTCCTGGAGCTCCATCCTCCCCAGGAAGTCCAGGTACACCAGCCAGTCCATATGCACCAGGTTCACCCTGAAGAAATAATATCAGTACTTAGTGCCATCTTGTAAAGTCTTCATCATGGTCAAAAAACTAGCTTCCATCCCAAATGTCCCATATATTTTTGAGCCTACACCACAAACCTTTGTTCCAGGTTCGCCCTGCCCTCTCTCTCCCGGGGTTCCCATCTCTCCTGGTAAACCATATTCTCCCTAGAGAACAAAATGGAAAATAATCAAAAGATTAAGCCAAGAACAAATTTTATGTTTCCTTTTACAGATTGCCGTTAATTATAATCTTTAACCTTTAGCAGTACCAACCTTGGGACCAGGGAAACCCTCTCCTGGTGGTCCTCTTCCTCCTGGAGGCCCTCTCGGACCCTCAACACCCTGATATTGAGAAATATTGCATTAGAAAACCCAACATATAAGATCACTAATAATAATGATAGAAATAATAAACATAGCATTGCATTTAAATTATTATGTTTATTGCATTTAAAAAACATAGGAAAGTCTTTCTCATATACAAATCAAATATTTTTGTTGTTAGTTTTTTAGTGTTTTTTAAGAAATCTCTTATGGTCACAAAGGCTAAATTATTTGATCAAAAACACAGTAAATATTTTGCGATATTATTACAATTTCAATTCAATGTTTTCTATTTTAATATATTTTTAAAAGTAATTTTTCTCTGTGATGCAAAGCTTAATTTTCAGCATCATTATTCCAGTCTTCAGTGTCACATGATCCTTCAGAAATCACTGAATATGCTGATTTGCTGCTTAGTTATTATCGATTAATATTATTGAAGCTCAAAGATTAATAAATGTTCTTATTATTATCAATGTCAACAACGTTTTGCTGGTTCCTTTTTTGTGGAGACCGTAATACTTTTTTTAAAGGATTATTTGATAAAGTTCAAAAGTACAGCATTTATTTGAATTAGATGCCTTTTGTAATATTATAAATGTCTTTACTGTCACTTTCAATCAATTTAATGCAATTTAAGTTTTTTGTGTGTGCTGTGATTGGTTAGCTGGGCCAGTGTGTGCTGTGATTGGTTAGCTGGGCCAGTGTGTGCTGTGATTGGTTAGCTGGGCCAGTGTGTGCTGTGATTGGTTAGCTGGGCCAGTGTGTGCTGTGATTGGTTTGCTGGGCCAGTGTGTGTTGTGATTGGCAGCACTCAGTGCCTGGTCAGGAAATGTCATGCCCCTTACCATAGCCGCCTGCGAGCTTCAGTGTAAATATTGCGTCAAAATCAAATCAGTTTGAGCGCGATTTAAACCCGGATGATTGTAACCACTCTAAGTTCGTCTGCCTTGGGAAAGCTAGCATGTCTCCGACATAGTGATAACACTCGTTGTCTTCTCTAGTGCAGCTCAACCAGGTCTCGTCCCATTCGTCGATATTTGTGATATCACAAATCCCGGAAAATATGCGTTGTAGTCCAAACCAGTCGTTCGTTGTAGTTTTTGAAAAGTGATTCTGTTAAATAAAATATCTCCTTTTGAAGTGGACTTTGAGCTTTGTAACTTTGCACATCATTTTTATACTCAAACAGCAACATTACAGTGTAACTAAAGTTGAAAAAGTGAAAAAGCATAATAGGACCCCTTTAAACCAAACATTTGAATGGTAGTGTATCACAGTTTGTAACTTTGATAATAATAATAAGAAATGGTTCTTAAATTAGCATTTTAGAATGATTTCTGAAGGATCATGTGACTATTCATCTGTCTTTTTGTTATGGCAAGGTGCATTTTATGAAATAATGCATGTCCATTAATGTACATTTTCTTAATCATTGGACCCTGTAAACAAGTTAAGAACACATATAATTCACATAAGTATCACCTTTTCTCCCTGAATGCCAAGCCCTGGGAGTCCGATCGGTCCTGGTAAACCTGGAGGCCCAAGCTCACCCTGAAGACACAAAAAAGATGAGTCCGTTTCAGATAGAGTAATACATCTCTAAAAGATTTAACTTTGGGACATAATAATCTGTCTATTTTGAGAATAAGAAATGACTGGTGTTTTATTCAGTATTAGCAGGTGAGCAGGACTCATCTTTTCCCACAGTAAGTTGAGCTGTGCCGCCCTCCCATCTGCTCTTTCTTACTCTTTATTACCCTCCCATAAGTCCCCTGCGTTTAAATGGGAACTTATAGGGCCAGTTTACATACTTCATTAAGCCTTTTGTGTGTCGTAGATGGTGTGGTTGTGTGAATCCCATTCATGGGCTGATATATTTACAGCCCACCTTATCGCCTTTGATTCCAGTGCCCGGCTGTCCTCTTGGTCCCTTCGGCCCCTCCAGACCCCGGTCCCCCTGTCAAACAAAAGAGGCATCATCAGCCCAGTGTCTCTGAAATGCAAGCCTCCCTTTCTCTGCCATTCGGATGCATTTACTGCATTGCATGTATTGTTTCTTCATCTGTGGGATTTAGAAAACACCAGTTTTTCTGACTGGTAATAATACAGTGTAATCCCTCAGTGAGCCCTAATTGTTGTTTATTCACAGTGGCTCAATTTGTCTGATGGTCGGTTGCACTGATAAGGATTAAATTAGAGCTAATCCAAGATTTTTTTATCTTGGTTTTATTCTAATTTGAGTTGTGTTGCACCAATTAATTTCAAATACCACTTAATTAACAGTAATTAACATAAAACCTTCACCTGCAATGAATTCCAGTGTTATTTTTTTATATTTTAAAATGTATTATTGTCTCTAAATGTATTCTATTTAGTTTTATTTTTACATTTTTATTTAGTTTTAGTAATTTCGTATTTTTTTATACGATTTATTTATTTTAAATGAGCTTTTATTTTTATATTTGCGGTTTTCATTCTAAACTTAATTTAAGTTTGAGTCATTTTGTTATTTGTTTTTATAATTTTTATTAGTTTTTTTTTTTATATTTCCATGTAGAGAAATATTTTTAAAAATAAACATTCATTTTTATGTTTTAGTTGTATTTAAAAAAAATGTTTAAACTGAATTGTTTTCATTTTATTGCAGATTTATTTCAATTACTGAAAACAATTTTTAGTGGTTTTAGTTGCAGCTAACAATAACACTTATTTCTTATCGTCAAATGCATTTAATTTGTAAATATTAGCATGAAATAAACTGATGAAAGAACATTGATAAGAAAAGGCAACATGTATGCAAACTAATGACAAATACAAGATGGCTTATCATTTTCGCAATAATTCCCTTAAAGATAAAGGAATATTATAAAGAGTTATGATAATAGTCACAAAATATTTTATATATCTAGAGCACTTGTGAATCCAAAGCAATACATTTATTTCTCTGGAAAAATGGGTCAAAAATATTGATTAAACATCCTAAAAACGCCCCTCAGTTCATTCACTTCAAATTGATTCAAAACTTGATTTGCATCTTCATGAATACTGAATATCATCATAAATCTGAAAAATATTGAGATATAATTTAGTTTAGCTACTGTGTGAAGGTTTTCAGAGAACTGAGGTTCTCCTTGACATGAATCACATTTCTTTGCTGTATTTTTAATTTACGATTACATTTTATGCACAGTTCTGACTTTGATGTAGACCTAGTTAGACTGCTAACATTAGACAGATTACAAAGAGTCTTTATAGAAGTCAAAGAAAACGGATCCATTAAATTCTGTCTTGCATCCTCAGGCTGGTAATGCTCAGCTAATTTATCCGGAACATACAATAATTAATAGCCTTGGGTTTTGAAATGAGGATTTACCAGGGAACTTTAAGCCTCTAATGAGGTATTATAAAAAATTACGAGTCTTTAATGCATTTGTAGATCTTCTCAGATTGCCTCTGGCTGCTACAAATCTCCAAGTAGATTAAAGAGCATAGAGACATTAGTGAGAACATGGCGTTTTTGGGCTAACCTTACCTTTTGACCTGGAAAGCCCTCTCCTGGTGGTCCTTTCTCTCCTAGAACCCCCTGTGGCCCTTGAGGCCCCTGATTTGTTGAAGAAATGTGAGAAAAAAATTCATATAGTCAAATCTATGGGTGTAAATTCAGTGCGTGTTGAATATTTTTGAATTTCTGCTTCTGTACTTACAGGCAGACCTGGCTCGCCTATGCCATGCGGACCCGGAGGACCTGGTCTGCCCTGAAATCCCATATCTCCCTGCAGACGGATCAAAGACGTGAACAATTCAGGAGAATAAGTAAGAAATACTCTATAGAAAATTACAGCATATCTGAGAATCCACTACCATTACCATCCATGTCATCTAAAAAATGTGCACAATGAAAATCACCTTTTATTCAAACTGAGCAAAAATATGCAATTTGGTGAAGATGCTGATATTTATAAGGCCAAAAAGTAAAATTAAATTCTTATTGCTTGAAATGTAAATGAGATCTTTATAACAGTATAACAGACTACTTGCATAAAATGCATATACTGTAAATATCAGTTTTCACTCTTTATCTCCCAATAATATGTCTTTGTAAGATGCTATTTAAATACTTAGTTTTATGATCAAAGCTTTGTAGTTTCAAAACATGTAATGCAATGCAATGCAATACAATGATGATGGAGAGACTAGACAACTAGACGTTCCTCAAAAGCTACTTTTTGATACTTTTTTGATATGATTTTTCTAATGAATGATATATGGATAGTTAAGTAAACCTACGTTGCTTCAGTCCAGTAAATGTTACTAACAATATAAAAGCTATTCTTAAGCTTACTGTATAAAACACAGCACAGCAAAAATACACTTTACAATACACTTGTACAATTATACTAAAATGACTTTTACTTGCTAAAAAAGTATAAACCTCAATCGGACAACAAAGGGCATGTTGTAGATTGTGTGCAATGGTTTTTAAGCAAAGTTTTGTTAATGTTGATCATATAGAGGCCTTAATAAATTGTGTAACAAATATGATACAGTAGGCTTTATAGGGTTCATGGTTAAGGTGGCTCACTGACAAAGGAAACAAAAAACATCTTAAACCAGCCTAAGGTGGTTTGCTGGTCTAAGTTGGTCTTACATCTCAGCCAAGCTGGTGTTATGATGGTTTAGCTCAGGGATGGGCAACTGGCAGCCCGCGGGCCGTATATGTTATTTATTTAACATGAGGTCACTATTTCCAGCTGCTCCCCTATTAATTTCAGCGTAGTAGGACGTGCACTCTAATGTAAACATTATTAAGCCCTTTTTAACTGTCCTTTTAAGTTGTTTTGAGAATGTTCTGTAGGCTACTAATAAAAAAAGGACCTCTGTATATTTGTTTGTTGCAAATTTACAGACAATGCAATTGAAATGTTTACATTGGCTTGTCAGGGGAATATTTTTTTCCACTGAAAGCCCTTTTTAACTGTCCTTTTAAGTTGTTTTGAGAATGTTCTGTAGGCTACTAATAAAAAAAGGACCTCTGTATATTTGTTTGTTGCAAATTTACAGACAATGCAATTTAAATGTTTACATTGGCTTGTTGGGGTAATATTTCTGTCCACTGACAACAGAGTTTTCCAGCAAAAAAAATGCTGGCCCTCGTCACTATCAAAGTTGCCCATCCCTGGTTTAGCTGGTCTCCTAGCTGAAAAATGACCAAAACTCAACTAAACACACTAAACCCAGTAAATCAGCTTAGGCATTTTCCCCAGCTTTGAAGTCTTTTTGTTTGCGGTGATTTTGGAGAATTTAAGTGAATTTGCAGTCAAAAAGGTAAATACGGCTGACCTTTGGTCCAGGAAGTCCAATTCCACTGTCACCCTGAATTCCAGGTGGGCCAGCAGGGCCGCGCTCACCCTGTGATTCATTACAAACAAAAACAACAGATTAGATACATCTAATTCATTAAACATCACATTCATGAGAGAAATCAGGTCTCATGTATGTATTTATTTAAAAGGATAGTTCATCCCAAAATGTTGTCATAATTTATTCACGCTCATGTTGTACCAAACCCGTTTTTTTCACTTGAAGAATGTTAATTTGTTGCTGGTAGACACTGACTTCCATGGTATTTTTTTTTTCCATACTATGGAAGTCAATGAACTGTTAGGTTTCCAACATTCTACAAAATATCTTCTTTTGAGTTCAACAGCTGAAAGAAATTAAAACAGGTTTGGAACAACTTGAGGTGAACTATTCCTTTAATAGT